GGGGGCAGTGTGTGGCTCGGTGGTAAAGCGCTTGCCTAGCATGCACGAGGGCCTGGGTCCCATTCCCACCAGAGAGAGAAGAGCTGTTTTTGGACCCCTTGACTTGGTGGACCCACCATCAATGTCCAGTTGGGGTAACCAGGCCCTCTACTAAACCCAGGGAGGCTCTAGGAGGTGACCTTTGTCTCTCCAAGAGGAGCAGCATCTGCTCCATTTCCAGTGGCCAGGGTTTTGGAGGGAAGACAGTGAGCCACACACCACACCTGTGATGCCAATGATACTCACCCCTCACAGGCTTGGCCTTTTGGAGAGATGAGCACAGAAGACTCTTGCCCTGCCCTTATAACTTTGGTCCAGAAGTGGATCAGCTACCTGAGTCCAGGACCTCCTTCTGAACTTGGGGTCAACTCAACTTGTGCTCCAAAGCGCAGACTACATTCTCTGGAAAGCCTTGTGTAGGGGGAAGGAAATCAAGAAGGGGGTCCATATCCAAAGACTCAGCCAATGGCACCACCTGCAAAGGAGGTGAGGCTTAGCAATGGGGTGGAAACTCATATGCCATCTGGTAAATGCCATAATCCTTCAGGACGAGAGGAGTGTGTCACAGGGAAGGGATGATGTTCTATCCTCTGAGGGAAGAAAGGGCCTCCAGAGCAGGTGGCAGCAGCATGGATCCAAGAGTGAGACCCTCGTGGGATGAGAAACCAGTCAGGCACACCACCCCAAGAAGTCTTTCCAGCAGGACAGAAGAAACTTTCCATACCTGCACTGAAGCGCACACACAAATCTTTGGAAGGTAGTACCATTTTATTTAGTGTTACAGAAACTTTTATGTTACTTCTTAAAAACATAACCAAAGAAATTTAAAATTCCCAAAGTCAAAAAGCAGAAAATAGTAATTCCATAATACAAAAATGCCTTCAATTGCAGGGAGGGGAAAGTCAATTTAGCAACTCACATAGTAGATGGGGAGAGTCCAGAGTTGAGATTGGTATGGAAACCAAGATGTTAAGTTCCCATCTAAGGCAATTAATTTTTCAGCCTTGAGGGATTCTTAAGTAGTACTTCTTAAAAAAGGAAAAAGACGGGGGTGTGGCACAGTAGCGAGGCCCTGCATTTGTTCCCCAGCTCAAATAAGAAAAGAGAAGGGGCCGGGGATTTAGCTCAGTGGTTCCGGCGCCTGCCTCGAAAGTGCAAGGTCCCCAGTTCGATCCCCAGTACCAAAAAAGGAAAAAGAAAGAAAAGAAAAAAGGTCAATTGGGAGAAGCGACTTAGGGAGGGAAGATCTCGAGTAATTTAACAGTGACAGGGTTCTAGCTTTTGATACAGTGTGTGTCAAGTGTCAGGGCTGTTGAGTTCCCACAGGTAGCACAGCTGGAAAGCACATGCTAAAGTCATGTTCATGTGAGCACATGCACACAACCGCTCCCCACACAGGGTCCACAGCTTTTGAGCATGGCAAAGGGTAGACTTGCTTGCTCCTCACTTCTGCTACCTCAATGAGGTTAACACAGTATATAAAGGGGAAGGGAGGACATCTGGCAAAGCCCAAGGAATGAGATGACTGGAAACAATCGGGCCAAAGAGTGACACTTTTCCTGAATCTGACCTCCAGCTGAAGTTCATTGGTATTTAATCTGACGGTTCTCCAATTCCTGGCTGCTCTCTCTGGAGGCACAATCAGGCAAGGCCAAGAAAAGAGCTGCTCCCAGAAGACCCTCTCTGGCCCATCAGCTGGGTTAGCATCTGCAGCGGGACCAGGCGTAGATGGATGGATGTCCTCAGGCAGGCACCAGCCATAGAACCTCCCAAGCACTGCCTTACCACCTTCTGCTCAGGCTCACAACAGGATAAAGCCTCAGACAAGTCCACTCCCCATCCCCAAATGCAGTCTTTGAGGACAGTCCCCAACTGAATGACCTCCAGATTACCTATATTTCAAGGTACTGGAATGCTATAAACTGAATTTTTTTTCCAGTAGTGGCAAAAGCCAGACCCCTGAAGTAAACTGTCCTTCATTCTCCAGAGTTCCCAAGTGACATTTCAGAGCACAGGACGTCACTTCACCCCGACATCCCTCTCCAATGCCCAGAGTTCCACACCCAAGGTCCTGGCAGCAGGTGGCTCCAAAACCCTCATCAACAATGCTCCAAAGCCCCACACCAGCCTTCCAAGGGAGAAAAGCCACTCATAGCACACCTGCCCCACAGCACACTTGGGTTATCACAGTATGAATATATTTCAATCCAGTAAAAAATATGATTCAGAACAAATATATACATGTTCATTTTCAGAGTTCAAGTGGATATATAGCTTTCTTTAGAAGCATGTCAATAAGTCTTACAGCACTACAAAAATAAAAGTCATCCGAGAAGTTTACAGTGGTCCCCATTACTTCAGGAGAAAATTGAATAAAATAGCTGTGGGTCTTTTAAAGCTAATCAGATAAATCAAGTTACAGTATCACCCTTCAGATTAAAGTGCTCCAGTACAGATGAGGCTGCGGCAAACTCAATCCTGAAAAGGGATTCCGCTGCCCACTGTTTTGCTTTTTGCCCTCGGTATAACAAAACACACAGAGAAGAGGTTCTGGGTTAATAACTGCCACCATCTCAATCCCTGGCCACACTATTAGCCTGAGATCGCTCTTCTGCTCAGAGTGGCCAAGATGTGATAAGCTTCTAACACAAACAGTGGAAGAAATGAGCAAACAAGACAGAATTCCAAGAGATGACTGACAGAGAAATTCCCCGGAAAATGAAGTGGTGCTCTTAGTTAAGAAGAGGGCAGGTATCTCAGCTTTAAAAATAGGTGTATCATCTAGTTTTTAAAATATAGCAATCCAAAAATAAGTATCTTCTTGCTCGTCACAATTTTGTGAGGGTTGTGGTATAGGGGCTGAGCCCAGAGCCTCACACACACAGGCAGTGCTCTGCCCCAGAGCACTTTCCTGGCCCTGCTCTTCACGGTTTTCTAACAAAGGGGAAAATGCCTGTGAGTCTGCTCAGGAAGGAAAATGAAAATACAGCAGCCATTGAAAAGCTGAGGCATTTCTCTTCTCTACCTTCTAGATTTTATTATCTACATCAAAGCCTTCACTACACCTTCTCTAGCATCCCAGAAATAAGCTGGGTTTTCTTTGGGGCAGTGACAGGCAGTATTCAGAGGTCAGGTTACATGAGACCCCTTAGGATCCAAGTCTGTGGTTCCTCGTGGCCTACAAGATTAAAGGTTTTTTTGGTTTGTTTAGTTTTGTTTTGCAGTGCTGGAGACTGAACCTCTGGCTTTGAACATGCTACACCCTCACCCTACCTTTGTGTGTCTGTGGGAGCCAGTGGCCTCACCTCTCTAGAAACACTGCCAAGGCAAGGCACAAGTGGAAAGGGCCAGAGGCATCCTGACGCTGTGCTGTGCCTCCCAGCACTGTGAGAGCTTGAATCACCCAGGCCCTTATCAAGGCACTGAAGAGGCTGACTAGCTGGCAGGGACCCTGCCCGACTTCCCTCAGCTGAATGAACAGTGATTCTAATTCCCATAGACTCCTTTGTGCACCTGCAGGAGAAGAGCTCCATGGGTCTAAGAGAGCAGATTTTAATGCTGATGAGAAGACATGGTTTGTTTAGAATCTAGAAGGTACACTCAGAGGCCTTCCCTAAGTGACTCTGCTCTAGTTAAAAAATAGAGACAAAAGAACCAGGTCTGAAAAGGCTGGTAAGTTTAGAAGGTATAAAAATTCAGCATCTGCAGCAGATAAAACACCTGAGCCACTCAAAGGCCAGGAAAGTTCGTGTATCACAGCACCAACTACACGGTCCATTACCCTAAGCTGTAACGACTGGAGGACACCTGTTTGAAAAATCCCACACCAAAGACAGACAACCCCAGTGTTCAGATACATTAGTATCTCTGGGGCCATCTGAGTCTCTGGCTCAGGAGCAGATCTTATGACCATGTCTGTGCTGGGCATAAAATATTTACAACCTAGTTAAAGGCACAGTGGCATTTAAAAATAAAGCCCTGGGAAAGAACAGTAGAAGATTCATTGTAATAATTAACCGGGCTTCAATTGGTGGAATTAACTCTTTGACAGATAACATGCAGGAGAGATGGTGATTTGGAGCCTGTTGGCTGGATGACAAGCACAGCAAGTCCTTGACCTCAGAGCAGGTGGAAATGGTCACACAGGCACCCCAGTGTTTTAGTCACATCTTCCCTGCTTTTTTGCCAACTGGAGCCGGGATGCGGAGGATGTTGGGGGTCTCTTCCATGACCCTGACGAGCAGGTTGTCAATGTAGTCCTCTAGCTCACGCACCTGAAACTCCTTCTTGCTGATGGTTTCCTTCTGTTTGAGGACCAGCTGGATCAGCTCCTCGTGAGTCAGCTGGGCATAGGCGAAGGCAGGGTCCGAGGGGCTGTACTTCTGTGGGGAGGAGAAAAAGGTTACAAAAAATCAACACAGGAATCAATAATCTGAAAGGAACACACAAGAGGAAAATATTAGTGATCTGAGTCTCTCGGAAATCCACTTTCAAGGCAGGGTGAAAACGGTTGTTGACTGATGAAATTTCTGCAAAGGGCCATACAGTAAATATGCTAGGCTTTGCAGGGCAAAGTGACCTTTGTGGCTTAGTATCCTTCATTTTATTTATTTATTATTTGCTTTATGTTTCTTTGCACATGCGTGTGTGTATAATTCAGGTGTTTTTCTAGTTTTTTTTATTAGTATGTGTTTGCAGTGCACAATGATTACATTCACTGTGGGGAATGAGTACATGTACCTAAGATCCTGCAGAAATGCACGAGCCAGGGGCTGAGCGTGAAGCTCAGTGGTGGAGCACTTCCCTAGCATGTGTGAAGCCCTGGGTTCAATTCACAGTACTACAAAAGAAAAAAAAGAAAGAAAAACCATATGCAGCTGACAGGTTGAAGACCTCTGCATTTAACTCTGTGTTTGGAGTTTCAAGAAATGCAGTCTGAGTTAGGGATGAGCCCAGTGCAGCATGTGCAAGGTCCAGGGTTCAACCCCCAGCACTGCAAACAAAAACAGGAAAGAAAATGTAATGAAGTCTGCATAGTGGTGCACACCTGTGGTGAGTGTACTTGGCTCCTCTATGCATACTAGGAGCTCACACAACTGGTGTCAATGCAGAGATGGAGACAAGCCCTACACCAGAAGAGAGCTGGTGCAGGACAGCACTTTCCTACCAACACAACAGGGCACTGTTCATGCCAGTCTGCTGCCGCCTAACCCATGCGATGTTATTAAAACCACAGTAAAGACTTATATTTTTAAAACTTATAGTAAAAGGCATATTGCCATTAATCTCCTTCAAAATAATCCCCTCACTTTGCATACACTTATCCCATCATACTTGCAACTTTCTGAAGTGGTTCTGGAAGTCCTCTTTCGTAAGTGTCTTTTCTTGCATTGTTGTGGCTACTTCCATGTCCTGACTCAATTCAGAATGATTATCTTTCATGGTCATTGTAACTCTGGGGAAGAGCCAGAAATCGCAGTGCCTGATCTGATGAATAAGGTGGATGAGGACACACTGTAATGTATCTTACAAGTTTTTCCTTTGGATGACACTCAGCAGCAGCAATCACTGTATTTTTTGTGGTACCGGGGATCAAACTCGGGACCTTGCGTTTTCGAGGCAGGTGGCAGAGCTAAATCCCCAGCCCAAAACCTTTTATGTTTTTATGTATTTCTTTCTTTTTTTTTTACTGTATTTTTGATCATACACTCACAAAAGAGGACTTCTAGAACTGTTTCAGAAAGTGGCAAGGACAATGGATTAAGTGTGTTTGAAGCAAGGGAGAAGATTTTGAGGGGGATTACTGGCAATGTGTCTTTAATATAATAATTTTTTTTTTTGGTATCAGAGATCGAACTCGGGTCCTTGCGCTTGCGCAGCAGGCAGCGAAACCACTGAGCTAAATCCTCGGCCCTATAATAATTATTTTTTAACAGTTTGAACATTCACTATGCATTTTGGTCACACTGCATATGCTCTGATTAAGCTAGCACAGTGGCCACTCAGGGATCTCATTGGAAGTCATTTTATACTCCAAACTATGCACAATCAAGGCCAAATGCCACCAGGCCACAGTACTAACTGGTAGCCAGCTGGGGCACACAGTGACCTGTCCTAGAGTCAAGTGTCCACCCTCCTGCTGAGAGTGGTGCCCTGAACTGTTGCTTTTAACCTGAATTTACAATCTGGTATGACAAGAACCCAACTGCAAGCTGGAGAGGCCCAAACCATGAGGAAACAGGAGATAAAGATTAAATAAGAGGTAACATGCCGTACCAAGTCTCCAGGAAGGAACAAAGAGTGAGGGACTTTTCTGGTGATCTGAGGCTTGGGAGATTTGCAAGTTTAAAGAGACAAGATTTAAGAGCAACTGCAAGATGATTTTGCCCGCAGAACACTAAGGCAGTTAAGTTTTATTGTCCTGAGGGTCCAATAGTTTCACTGACTACAGAAGGCTAAGAGACTACATGTTCCAAGAAGCAGATAAGTTGAGGGCAAAATCAACATTCACTGTTCAACATCAGGACAAAAGCCTTTGTCCCAACAGTGAAGCAAAGCTCCTACACACGAGCCAGGACTCAGTGGAGGAGGAATCCCTTCCCTCCCATCCTAGCTGGGGACAAAAGCTTGACCATTACAATACTAGCCTAGAAATACACACTGGCATCCTCTTATTCAGACCGGGTTTTAACCCAACTCAGACTGCACATAAATAGGAGGGATGGAAGACTATTTCCCCAAAAACTGCTTCTCCCTCATTCCCCCCTTCTTTTATCTTATGGAAAGCATACCTTCATGGGGTAACTGCCCTGGACCTCAGTCACTGTTTTCCAGTGCTGGGAATTGGAGCCAGGGCCCTGCACATGTTAGGCAACAACTCTGCCACTGAGCCACACTCCTAAACCCGGTTGCTCTCTGACTTCCAAAATGAGATTCAATTCAAAAGTTGCACATATGTAAGATTCTGGACACTGATTATACAACATGAATGTGCCCATACTACTATGCTGTATATTACAGATAGGAAACATTCTGTATATTTTACCACAATAAGATTCCTGGGTCTTTGTAAATAAGGTCCAAGAATATGTTCTCAAGAGTGTCTAGGTTATACCTCTACATATAAAGGTTTTATTAATTCAAAGGTGTTTATTAGCAGCTGGAAGTGTAGCTCAGTGGTGGGGCTCATGCTTAGCATGTGTGAGGCCTAAGCTAAAGCCCTAGCACTGCAAAAGAAAAAAGTCTACAAGGGGTTTGTGGGGAGTATGGAGAAGAGGACACTGACACTTGGCACCATCATGTAGGTACAGCGTCAACACTTGTGGGGACTCTGTCACTGTAACACAGGCTCAGGGGCTCAGAGTCCAGGCAGGTGCAGTGCTCCAGAGCTGAGACGAGTAACACAGGTGATCAGGATAAGCCTCAAAGGTGAAGGAGGAACTGAACCAGACCCTGACAATGAATTAAAGTTTATTTTCACAAGGTTGGGGATGTGGCTCAGTGGGAAAGCACTTGTCTAGTATACTCAGGGCCCTGGGTTCAATCCCCAGTGTAAATAAAATAATCCCAGAAATATTTTTAAGTTGTAAAAGAAATATTTTCTCATTACGGAAAATCTCAAATATAGAAGGGGAAAAACTAATACCCATAATTCCAATACATAACATTTGGGTCTCTTATTTTCCTCTGTGTGTGTGTGTGTGTGTGTGTGTGTGTGTGTGTGTTCGCCCGCGCGTGTGTATTTTCCTTTAGTACTGGGAGATGGAGCCCACCAGGGCCTCATGCATACCAGGCAAGCACTCTACCAATGAGCTATGTCCCCAGCCCCTAAGTTTCTTTACTGTGGGTTTTACAATGTTAGAATCATACAGAATAAACTTTTATAGATTTTACTATTTTGTGAGCATTTCACCATCATTAGTTTTAGTTAAAATTTACTCAAATAGATACTTTAAATTTCATTATATTTTAACCATCTATTGATATTAGGTTGTTTTTAATTTTCACAATTATGTATAAAACATTTTATTAAAATACATGAGTCTAGTCAGGCATAGTAGCACATGTCTGTAAACCCAGCATTCTGGGAGGCTGAGGCAGGAGGACTGCAAGTTAAAGCCCAACATGGGCAACTTAGCCTCCTAGCATGACCATGCCTCAAAGTTTAAAAATAAATCAATAAATGAATGAATGAATGAATGAATAAATAAATAAATAAATAACAGCTGGAGTTCTAGTTCAGTGCCAAGGCCCTGGGTTCAATGCAGTACCACCATAAAAACCCAAACCAAACCAAACCAAAAATGAATGAGCCTAAATATTTGACTGTATCTCTAAATATTTCTTTCTTTTTTTTTTTTTTGCGGTACCGGGGACTGAACTCAGGACCTTGCACTTGCCAAGGCAGGCATGGTGCCACTGAGCTAAATCCCTGGCCCTCTAAATATTTCCTTAAGATAAATACCTAGAATTGAAGTGGCATTCATACTTAAGGTATTTCCAACTGCCAAGCAGATATTCAACTTGCATTCTGTAATCAAAGGGGAAAGAATATATATGGGACTTTGAAATCATTAGACCTTAGTGGTATGATTAAAAAATGATAGTTCAGCGTTACGAAAAGTAATCAAAGCCCATGGAGAGGAAGAGGCACAGAGAAAATACTGACAAATGCAAGAAAGCACAGTGCCCACTGGCACAGATTTCCTACCAGGATTCTTTTTTTGTTTTGTTTTGTTTTTTGGTTTTTTTTGAGACAAGGTCTCACTCACTATGTAGCCCAGGCTGGCCTTGAACTTACAGTGATCCTCCTGTCTAGTGATCCCAAGGGCTAGGATTATAGGCATAAACCACCACGCCCAGTTTACCAGGATTTTTACACTGAATTTTTCTTTTTACATAATTGCAATAATGATGTACATTTTAAATGTGGGTCACATTTTTCCATATAATATAACAGAAGATTTTTGGATCTAGTTGGCCTTACTATTTTAAAAGGAAGTGTTATGGGCTGGGGATGTAGCTCAGTGGTACCTCGCCTGCCTGGCAAGCACAAGGTCCTGAGTTTGATTCCTGGTACCAGAAAATAAATAAATAAAAAGGGAGGTGTTAAAGCCACCTGAGTAAATAGTGCATTCCTACTTATAAATCATCTATAAAGAACCAAGGCCTGGGGCTGGGGATTTAGCTCAGGGTTTTGCTGCCTGCTGCGCAAGCACAAGGACCTGAGTTCGATCCCGGTACCAAAAACAAAATAAAAAAAAACCAAAAAAGAACCAATGCCCTAAAACAATAGCCAAGGGGGAAAAATTCACTGTAGGATGATCAGGCTAACTTGTCATAACTTTAGCCATGCAGTCTCTTTCCCTAACCTCTTATTTTACAGCATTCCAAAGAGTGCTTATTTTTATAAATACTGTTTTACGTGTAGCACAAAGCATTTATTATACAGCAGGTCAAAAGCAGAGTCTCTGGGAGCTTCAAATATGCTGCTTCCCAGATGACCCTTTGTTCGGAAACTCCCACTGTGAGTACTAAAAGAACTTTGCTATTAGAGAAATAGGGAAAATATGGTCAACTGGTCTTTGGGAGTGGCAGAAACCTCTTTAATCGCAGAACAAACTAACACAAATCAACCACAGGTTGGATAAGGGACTAAATTTATACAGAGTCCTACCCAGGCCTTCAGCAACAAAAATGTGACTCCACAGTACAGACTCATTTAGGAACTCTCCAGTTCACGACTACTTAGATTTATAGTAAGTTCTCAATTTGCAGACTTCTGAGTTGCAAATTTTCACAGATACTATCAACACTCATAGATGAAAACAATTCGAGGAAGTAGCTCACATGTCTGCCAGACACTGTCACAGTTGTGCTGCTGTGTGCTTACTGTACAGTGCGATAATATACAGCAGTACAGTACAGTCGAGGACTTACTATATATTTTTGTGTGTGTGTTTGATTTTTCTATGTTTTACATTGTATATTTGTCTCAAAAGTGTGTAAGACTCACTTTGTTGGACTTATGAACAAATCCAACTTACGAACATTCTCCTAGAATGCAACTTGTTCGGAAGTTGGGACTTACTGTATTGCTTTTTCTCTTTTCTTTACTCTCATCTCCATCCCTGCCTTTCTGAAATTTTAATGTCAAAAAAAAAAAAAAAGCAGAGTCTCTGGGAATGTTCCACATTTACTCGTAATATTTGCTAGGGAGGATACAGGACCCAGAGGTGCTTGGCAGCCAGCAGAAGGGCAGCAGCGGTGTAGCAATCATGGCAGAATAAGCACGGCGCCTTTGTTTTGAGGCAAGTTATTCTCTTAATTAGTTCTAGGAGATAAGCCCCTGATAAATGAACCTCAAAGAGTAAATAAAATGGGAGCCAAAGGTCTTGTCACTTCTCAAAAATGAGGTGTTTTTTTTTTTTTTTTACCTAGGTTCAATCCCCAGCACCAAAGAAATAAAAAAGAAAACCAGAAAGAGCCACAAAGCATTCCACAGAAAAGGCAGAGGGGACAGAAGGCTGCTAAATGAATGGTTTTCATTACTGTCACCTTTAGACTGCTCTTCTTTCCAGTTTTCTGGTAAATTTTAACTCCAGGAAGACAGCTCTGCTGCTTCTACTTGTAACAATTACACATAAACCAGCAAGCCACACCCTTGGACTAACAGGAAGTGCAAATTCGTAGACTAGGGCTGAAATGCAGTAGGTCCACAGTAAGTCCACAGTTACCACAATGGCTGATAATCTTGAAACTATGGGTATCACCTACCCAGTTAGCATGTTCTAGAAGGGAAGAGAGGCCCAGGCACTATACCATGGTGACCCATTTACAGCAATATTTAGTTGCGATTCCTCAGCCGCTTCCACTAAGGACCAGCCTCCCGCCTCCAGCCTCCAGTGAATCTTCACCCCAGCACAGCACAATGAAGTGGAGGGAGTAACAACTAGGGTACCCAGCACTTTGCAAACACTTGCAGGATGTGGTGCAATGTAGAGCCTTTGCTTAGTGTGCACAGCAGGACTTAGGTTCAATCTGCATCACTGGAGGAAAAACAATGCCTGACAGAAGCAGAAGCAAAAATTTTTATTTTAAAAACTGAAAACTAGACAGGCATGGCGGTGCGTGGCTGTGATCTCAGTTACTCAGAAAGCTGAGACAGGAGGACCACAAGTTCAAGCCTAGCCCAGGCATCTTACAGACTCAGTGAGGTCTTGTCTCAGATAAAAAAAAAAAAAAAAAGGCCAGGGATTTAGCTCAGTGGTTCCGCCACCTGCCTTGAAAGCACAAGGTCCCAAATTCAATCCCCAGTACGAAAAAAAAGGGATGCAGCTCAGTACCTCAGTGGTTTCGCAGCCTGCTGCACAAGCGCAAGGACCAGAGTTCAATCCCCTGAACCAAAAAAAAAAGTCAATGTATCGAGAGACAAAAAAGGTCAAGAACTATTCCAGAATACAGATGAAAGAGACAAGGCAATCAAATGCAAAGAGTGATCCCTGATTGGCTCCTAGAGTAGAAAAACAACAACCACTAAGCCAGGACACTAGTGAGGCAGCTGGTGACACTGACAAAGGTGCTGCAGATGAGAAAACACTATTACAGAAATGATAAAGCCAGGTGTGGGGGTGCACGCCTGTAATCCCAGCACTTGGGAGGCTGAGGCAGGAGGATCACCCCAAGTTTGAGGCCAGCCTGAGCTACATGGTGAGTTCAAGGCCAGTCTAAACTACACAGTGAGACCCTGTCTTTAAAAAAAAAGTTTTATAAAAATGATAAATTTCCATAAGGACTGAAATATACAATGGATGTTGGAAAATTGGAAGAAAGTGTTCAAATGGGAAGGGGAACAGAGGAGGGAGGGAGAAAGAAAGGAAGAGAAAAGAAAAAAAGTGAAAATAGAAGGAAAAAATGGAAACAAAGCTTTTGAACATAGGGAGGGGAGGGGGCTTGAGGGAGGAATGGGATAAAAAAATAAATTTTTTAAAAAAGGATAAATTTCTAGATTTTGTTCAGTTTTTGTTTTTGAGACAGGTGTAGTCCAGGCTTGCCCTAAATTCACTATGCAGCCTACTAGCCTTGAATTCACTCCAATCCTCCTACCTCAACCTCCTGACTGTTAGGACAATAGGTTTTTATCACCGCACCCAGCATGTACAAGTTGAATCTTTTTTGAGTGATTTGGTTTTTGTGTTTTGTTTTTTGCCGTGCTGGGGATTGAACTCAGAGCTTCACATTTGCAAGACAAGCACTCTACCACTGAGCTATATCCCCAGATTTACATTTCCAGATTTTGATGAATGTTCCTGTTCTTAGGAATTAAGTACTTAAGTATGGGGGGGGGGGCGACATAATGTATACATTTACTTTCAAATGTTTTTTAAAAAAAGTGTACCTGTGTATTACATATGAAGGCTGGGGGGTGGGGGAGAAGAGGAAGGAGGGGCTAGGGTGACAGAGCAAATCTGGTCAAATGTTAACACCTGGTGAATCTGGATAGAGGGTTTACAGCAGCCCTTTGTACTATTATTGCAACTTTTTTTTAATGTTTGACATTATTTAAAATAAAGTTACAAAACAAAAAGATACATCTTTGTGATAATTAAAATTCAAGAATTTTACATTCTTGCCTAAAGATAAAAAAAAATGTGGGAAAAGAACACAGCCTGACTTGAATGGGCCACACTTCTTCTCATTAACAAGAATGCCATGAGCTTGGGGATGTTGCTCAGAGGTATAGCTCTTGCCTAGCATGTGCAGAGTTCTGAATTCAATCCTCAGGCCCACAAAAATAAAAATTAAACATAAAATAAAAAGTACTAGTGTTAATCTTGTTGCTGGGGACACAAAACACTTTCAACAATAGCTAAATAACTACAAAAGAAAAAAAAATTTCCCATCCAATGGGAAGACTCCAGAGAGAGCAAGTATAGGATTAAGTAACTGCAGGCACTGCCTGTTGCCCAGGGGAATGTATACAATGGTGACTTCTGTACCAGAGTTAGAGCGAGGGCCTCACGGCATACTAGGCAAGTGCTTTTTATTTTCAAGATGGGGTCTGGCTGAGTTGCCCAGGCTGGTCTCAAACTCATGGGCTCAAGTGATCTTTCTGCCTCAGCCTCCCAAGCAGCTGGGACCACAGGTGCACACAAGGATTTTAGACCCGAGTACTTTGTAGGACCCTGGCTGACACGCCAGCTCCTTAGAAAATGTACCTTTATCATGGCGTCACTGGTCACATTCTCACTGATGATGGTGGCCATTCCCAAGCTGGAGTTAGAAATTTTGGTGGCTGTTGTGTTCATTGGCTTCACAGGTTGAAGTCTAAAAAGAAGGGAAAGAAGGATCCTTGAACCATTTTGTAACCACAAAACTCAGAACAGCCCTTCTCAACTAAGGCAGCCTGCAAGAGAGGCAAGGGGGAGGGGAGAGAGGTGGTATGCTTTGTTCACATCTCCAGCCCAACACGCGTCCAATGACCCAGTGGAACTGAAAGTAGACAGAACCAGGCAGCATATGCAAGCAGCAAAGCAAGTCCTTGGCCACTTTTCCTGAAGTACCTGCGAGACCCTCAGCCTTGTCATGAATATCAGCAGAACATGAAAGATAATCCCTGAGGGCCGGGATAGAACACTTGCCTATATGTGTGAGGCCCTGGGTTCAATTCCCAGCACTGCAAGAATAAGAACAAAAGGTAATTTGTTATTCTTGGAGTAAGTACAGCCTAGGACTCCGCCGAGGAACTCTGCAGAGCCATCTGTGCAGGAAAGAAAGAGCTCAGAAAAAACTGGCCAGATGCACATCCAGCAGTATGTAAAGGAAGTTCCAGCAAACTTGATCCTGCCAGGGATCTCAGCTGAGCCTTTAGGACCCTGGTTACACTACATTTCTACAACTAGAGAATATCAAATCTGACTGCAGCCCAACTCCTAAGCTGTCCCCGAAGATTAGACTGTGCTCTTGCTACATACACAATGAGGTCCTGCGGTGCTCAACCCAAGAAGGACAGCCCTTTCATAGGGGTCCTACAGCACAACAAAAGGTTTTAACCTCAGGACCTCTGTAAGTTTCAAAAGCCATAACCTCTGGAGGTAAAAGCAAAGAGAGGACACTGCTCCCATTTACAAAGACATGCACCCCATCTCTCACCTGTGCTTGGCTGCCCCAGTTCCAGCGCCTGGCTGAGCTGAGACTGGATGTGTCTCTGAGGGTGAGACCCAGGCCTGAAGAAGCGGCTTCCTCTTGCCAAAATTTTCAACTTTACCAGTAGAGCCCTCTGCTGTTGCTTTTTTGAGAGATTCTGCTGTACTGGTGTGGTGAGCGTCAGCGTGTGGAGAACTAGGGAAAGAGTGTGTGGCAGGAAAGGTCTCAGAAAGGGAGGGGCTGGGCACAGGAGAGTGAGGGGACAGGCCAGGAGGGTGACCTGGACTCCTGCCTGCCTTTGGTTTCTCTTCCTCATCACCGCCAGGGCCTGGGAGCTGTTCATCCTTGTTTGTGCCCTTGACAAGATGTGGTTTATCAATTCCTAAAGCTGCCTTCTGCTCAGAAGGAGATGCTGCAGAGACCAGAGAGCTAAAGCCATGCAGACTCTCAGCAAGCACTGCCCCATCTGTCCTTCCACTCAGCCCCTCTGCCTGCTTGGGATGGGGAGGCCACGTGCTCCAGGATGAAGCGCCTGCTGTCTTCCCCCCATCCTCCACCTGATCTACTCTTTCATCGTCTGATGCCACTTCAGGGATGGAGGGAAGGGTCAAGTTCAGATCGGCCACCATGGGAGGTGTCATCTCTGAGGCAGAGGGAAAGACACTCAAGGGATCGGACTGTGAGCCTTCGTGATCACTAGCCTTGCTTTGGTACTGAGACGTGAATGTATCAATGCCCTCGATCCTGAAGAGTGGGGTGTGCTTCGCCAAGCTCACTTTACTCCTGAGGCCTCCTGAGGAACTCTCCGCATGAGAGGGGACCACGGAACCACCTTCTATGGCAGCTGGCACAGTAATACGCTCCCTCTCTGCATCTTCTGAGTGGAGACAGCCAGCAGGGTCTGTACCAGACGCGCCTTCCATAGTGGCACCTTCAAGAGTCAGCTCCTGGGGGTGATTTTTGTCATCTTCCCCCAGTCCAGTGGGTTTCTCCACCTCTTCTGTAAAGGGCTGCTCAGAAAATGACACACGCTTCTTGCCTTTCTTTTGGCCCTGGCCACCATTCAGGTTCATCTCTTCCTGTTTCTGCATCAAGGAATCAGGTAGGGGTGCCAATTCATCTGCTGGAAGAGGCACTGCTACTTCTTTGACTGTGGAAGACATTCTGGCACCCGTAACTCTGCTCTGCGCAGAAGGCCTAGGATGACTCTCCAGGTCTGCATGTCCCTCCATGGGCAGCTTCCCAGTGGGGTCTACAATTCTGCCACCACCCAGTGAGACTGCAGACAGCTCCTCAGGGGTGTCTCCAGCTGACAGGGTGCAGCCTTGTTTTGGGGAGGGAGCATCCAGAAGTACTTCTTCTCGCTGCCCCACCCCAGGCTGCTCCAGGAGAGAGCTTCCTGGCTCTGTCCAGTCAGCATTCTCCCTCGAAGGACTTCCTGTCCCTTTCCATACTGGGGTGGGGGGTTGTTTGAAAAGTGGTCCCAGGGCAGAAGAACCAGTGTTTGGGACTGGTGTTAAACTCTCCTTTTGCAAGTCTGCTTGGAGGAGCAAACTGGCCTGGCCCTGGCCTGAGGAGGGCCAGTGTCCAACTGGGGTGGATGTGGAAATGGGAGCTGCTATGGGAGATGGGAAAGAAGAGAAGACAGAAGGACTTTCAGAGGACTGGGACTCTGAACCATGCCCCAATTCGGAAGGGCCAGGTGCCTGACCAGAACTGGAAGGAATAGTAGAAAAAAAGACAGAAGAGTCAGGGGAGGAAGGAAGCCTGGCTTTGGGTTGAGCCTCTGAAGACACTTCCAGTCTGCAAAAAGGACAAAACAAAATCTGCAGGTCAGTTGCAGATGCATCATGAGAGACAAACGTAAAAATAAAGTTGTTCAAATGGGGAGAATGTTTTAAAATTTGGAACAGTGTTTTAAAATTTGGAACAGTATTTTAAAAACTAAAGGAACACCAGTCCTTAACATACAAGGAACAGGCTGGGGATTTACCTCAGTGGTTCCGTCGCCTGCCCCGTAAGCACAAGGACCCAAGTTTGATCCCCAATGCCAAAAAAAAAAAAAAAAAAAAAAATACAAGGGACCTTTGTGGGAGGATGCTTGGGGATTAAACCCAGGGCCTTGCACATGCTAAGCACATACTCTACCACTGAGCCACACCTCGAGCCCCTAAAAAGGGACACTAGTATCACCAAGCACAACTACCAAAGACCTGCTGCAATAGGAACAGGGCAGTCCAGAGAAAGCAACAGCCTACAGTTCCTTTTGGTGACTGAACAGAGCCCTAGCATTTGATTTTCAGGGCACAAGGGATCTAAAAGTTCAAAGTAGTACAAGATGTAACCCAAGGAAACAGGCACAGATTTTGAAGAGTCAGGGAGTTCGTGTGTGTGTGTGTGTGTGTGTCTGTGTGTGCATGTGTGTGTGTGCATGCATGCATGTATGATCAAAGTAAGCAGAATCTCCAAAAAGAAAAAAAGAGAAATAAATCTCTCACCCCCAGATCACAGGAATATTATTAGTATGAAAGTGAGTCATGCAGAAAAGCACAAGCCCTCCAGGCTCAGGCAGACTCTTCCAAACAGGCAGAGGAAATACACAGACAACTGCCACAGGCACACTGGGCATGGGCCTAAGTCTCCTGTGCTGGCAGATGCCAAGGTGAGAGGAAGAGAGACAGCATCTTCCTCAAAGGGTGATAAGCACTGAGAACTGAATAATCACAGTTCTGCACACTCCACAACCCCAATCTTACTCCCAACTCAAAGCTCGGCCTCTGCAACAAACCACCACATTTCACTGGGGTCTGACTGGATCACTGAGAAGGAAAAGCACACCTGCCAGGCAGAGGCTCGGGGCTGAGGAATCAATGCTCTTTCTGCAGAGCAGGCCAACAGGTGGCAGGGATGGGGCTAAAACAAGTGATTTAGCCCAGCACACCTTCAGCACTTGTGGCATTATGGGATGTGCCACAGAGAGAGGAGGAGGGGCTTGCATGACAAGGGGCAGGACTCACCGAGGCTTGACAGCTTTGGTCTGGGGAGTCCTTGCAGAGGGAGCAGGTGGCTTTGGGTTGGACTTGGACTCAGGTCCAGCTTCCGGTTCTGAGATCGGCACGTCTTCAAAGGGATTCAAAGAGTGACCCTGTCGGGAGGTGTAGGCCACAACGTCTTTCTCAGACCCTCTCACGAAGACTTCCTCTGGCGGCCGAGTTTCTGAAAGCACGCCTTCCTTCTCCTTCCCTGGGACGGCAGTGGTGCGCGCGCCTTCACTGCCCTTAACCACATCCTTCTTTCCTGTCACCAGAGAAAGCAAAGAGGACCTCTTTCCCTCCTGCTTCTTGCTGTCCTTGGTTTCTTTCACAGCCTCCAAGTTCACTGGAGCTGTGCCTTCCCTAGTGTCCCCGCTGGCTGGTGGTCGGTAAGATGGCAGGGACATGGACTTCAGAGAGTCCCTGGTGGAGGTGTCAGAAGACAGGGCACCACCCTCCCCAGGCTCCTTGCAAGCCCGGGCAGCCAGGTTTTCGGAGGAGGAGAACAAGTGCTTCTTCCTGAAGCCCTGGGGTGACGGAGAGGAGGCTGGACTGCTGTCCTTGGTCTCAGTCCTGGCCTCCGGTTGCTCCACGTAAACATGGTTCCCGTTGATGCAGACGTTAGAGCGGGAAAGGGTGTCGTTCTTGGATCGCAGGCCCCCAAGAAAGGAGAGTCCTTCCTTCTTGGGAAGGCTGAAGTTGATCTGGTTCAGCTGCTTAGGGTCCATACTCACTGTTCTCTTGTGGGACATGACTAGGAAGAAAAAGCAAGGAACAGAAAGGGGATAAGTTAAACTAGCAGGTGGTAGAGGTAGCTCCACGGTAGAGCACTTGCCTAGCATACATGAAACCCCGGGTTCCATCCCTAGCACCAGAAAGGAAATGAGTGAGGGAAAGAGGAAAGGGAAGGAAGGAGAAAGGAAAGGAAGAGAGAGAACAAATGGCTTTCAGTGTGGGGGCAGGGTCATTTGTCAACACCTGGACTCGTCTTTGTTTGTCTCAACTGAGGGGAAGGCTGCTACTGGCATCTATCAGGTAGAAGCCAGGGGTGCTGCTAAACATCCCACAATGCACAAGACAGTCCCCCACAGCAAGGAAGTATCTGGCCCAACGGTCAACAGTGCCGAGGGTGAGAATCCTGTGTTAAACCCATGGAAAAGGCAGCACTCTTCAGAGGGTATCAGAAATCTGGCACTAAGAGATCTAGATCTGATCACTGAAATTAAGTTCAAGCTGGGGTGGCACATGCCTGCTATCCCAGCACTTGGGAGGCTGAGAAGGGGGATCATGAGTTCGAGTCCTACCTGGGCAACTTAGTGAGACTCTAAAATATTAAATCAAAGGGCTAGGGATGTAGCTCAGTGTGAAAGCTCTGGGTTCAGTCCCCAGCAACATTCATACACATACACACACACACACACACACACACACAAAGAAAGAGAAAAGAAAAATAAAGATAGAATTTCATAATACACAACTAATTCAGAGTTAAGGGACCTGGGTTCCCTAGCTTTCATTAGGGGCATATCCTGTGGGGGTTAGGCATACCACTGAAGATCAATAAACTGTTTTAATTCATAACTAATGAAATAGAATTATAACAAGGTTCCATAGTTTTATCTGAGAAAGAGAGAGACTTGGATGGACTCAATCTTTTAGCTCCAATCTTTGTACTAATGCACATCAGTCCCATGGACAGACATCTCAGAAAAGGCATCTCTGCATTCTCAGGAACCCAAGCGATTAGAAATAGAACAGCCATCCAAGCCAAGATCGCCATCCTCACCAGCACCGGCACCAGCACCAATACTGCTGCTGAGTTAGTCTTTCTCTAAAGACCTGTCTGTTCCTCTCGATCAAAGCAAGGTAGGGTAAGCGGAAGAAGAGCAGCCAAGTGAGGAGGTGGCAGACACTCACTGTCTGAGGCAGAGGAGGAGGACTCATCCTCCTGGTCGTCATCCTCCCACTGGGACCGGAAGTCTCCAGGTCGGAGCAGCACTCTATCTGACTTTGAAATGGGCAGGACAGACATGGACTGGGAAAGCGGTGTTTTCTGTAAATTTGACTTGGAAAACAAGGTCTTGACCTTTGATTTCTTTTTCTTGTCTTTTGAGAAAGACTCGTCGTCACTGTCAACTGAGGGTGTTGAGCTAGGGACGATGGCAGAGGCAGTGTCTGATGCGCTGTCCTTGTGCTTCCCCTTGATCTTGTCCTTCAGTTTTCCAAATGGATTTCGGGACTTGTCCTTCATGGACAGGTCGAACATGCTGGCTGTCATGTTGTTTCTCATAAACTGGATGTCGACCTTAATTTCTCCCCGCTCTTTTTCCTTCTTTCCTGGTTTGGATTTCAAGGCGTACCACCTGAAAAGAGAAAGGCTGGCTGTTAACTCGGGTGAAGCGCCTGCACCCATGTTCACAAGCCCTGTTGACAGGGTGCCCTCCCTGCTCCTCAGACAAATGCAACCCTGCTTTCCCTTTGGGGAACAGAAGAGGGCTAGGGCTGGGGATGAGGGCAGAACTTGTCCATCCATCCATCCACCCATATAGTGGTATGGGGAATTGAATGTACTTTTATTTATGAGATACTTTTTGCCTATGCACAAGATAAAGACAGAGTCTGATGTATTTAGTGTATAATTTTTTTTTTTTTTTGCAGTGTTGAAGGTTAAACCCAGGGCTTCAATCATGCCATCCAAAGTGCACTACTATTGAGCTACACCCCCTACCTACCCTTATAATCGTCTAAAATGCTGACCCAAGATGGACATAGTGGTGCACACCTGTAATTCCAGCACTTTGGGAGACTGAGGCAGGAGATTACAAGTCTGAGCAATCGAGTGACTTATTAAGACTCTGTCTCAAAAAAAATTTTTAATGTACTTTTTAAAATCCTGATGCTGTAAAGAGTTGTTTGTTTTTTTTTTTTCCGGTACGGGGATCAAACTCGGGTCCTTGCACTTGCACAGCAGGCTGCGAAACAACTGAGCTAAATCCCCAGCCCCTTGTAAAGAGTTATTTTTAAAAATAAAGAGCTGGGAGCTGGGTGTGGTGGTACACACCTGTAGTCCCACCTACTTCAGAATAATTTGCACCCAGAAGTTTGAGACAAGCTTTGGCAACATAATGAGGCCTTGTCTCTAAATAAGTAAATAAACATTTAAATCATTTCCACTGACATACTTTCCCTCAATAAGGTTGCAAAGATCATAAACGAAAGCTAGAAAGGGGGGCCAGGGATTTAGCTTAGTGGTTCTGTCACCTGCCTCACGAGCACAAGGTCTGGAGTTCGAGCCCCCATACCAAAAAAAAAAAAAAAAGCTAGAAAGGTTGTGCATAGCTGAGTGTGACGGTGCAGGCCTGTGATCCCAGCACTCAGGAGGCTGCGGCCAGAGGACTGCCTCGAGTTCAAGGCCAGCCTGGGCTACAGTTAATTCAAGGCCAGACTGAAGTGCATAGCCAGACCCTGTCTCAAAAAACAAACAAACAAACAAAAATAAATAAATAAATAAATAGGTAATGTGCAAATTTATATATAAATCTCAAAGAAAATCATGAGTTTAGAGGAAGGAAAAATGCCTGCCAGGGAGTAACAGAACATTCAAAATGGAGTTTAAAAAGAAAAGAATGGAATAAGAGTCATAAAATGAAAATGATATATGACTTCACTTAAATGAGGTGCCTAGGATGGTCAAATTCACCAAGACAGAAAGGAGGGTGAGTTGGGGGCTGGGAAGTGGGGAGCGGGGAGCTAACATTTGAAGGATATTGAATTCTAATTCAAGTTGAAAAAATGAAAAACTTCTGGAGATGGATAGCAGTAACGGCTGGACAGCGATGTGAACAAATGTAGGTAATATCACAGAACTGTATACTTAAGACAGCTCAGATGGTAAATGGAGGCTCTGTGGTAAAGTGACTGCCTAGCATGTGCAAGGTCCTGGGTTTGACCCCCGGCACCCCAGGGGGCTGAGGGGCACACATACCAAAAAGGTTAAATTTATATTACATATATTTTATTTATCACAATTTTTTTGTTTGTTTTAGTACCGGGGATCAAACTCAGGACCTTGCACTTGCAAGGCAGGTGTGATGCCACTGAGCTAAATCCCCGGCCCTACCACAATTTTTAAAAATGAGAAACTAAAAAGAAGGCATTCTCCTCCAGCTTAATAATAATAAAAAAGGAACCTTTCAGGCATCATTCAAGTATTTTGCTTGGTCATCTGCAAACTACTTCAAGACATGGTACTGGTCCTACTCCACAGATAGACAAACTTCGGCAAAAGGAAATCTGCTTGGCATTCACCATGCATTTGGGACTCCTCTCCATCTGGTGAACTCAAGCTGAGTGACCACTAGAGCACAAACAACCCTAAATACTTGGCCTACAGTCCACCCTCCATGGGTTGCCCTCACACGCAAAACCCACATGTGGATCCTCTTTTCAGTGACCTAGTTAAAAGTTGTGGGCTGAGTACAACTTCCTCTTTCACCTCAGCCTCAGCCTCTTCTCAGGGCTGATTGTCTCCCCCCTCCCCAATTTGGCTCCTACACAGAGAAGAAAGGGGCAGAGGGAAGCAGAAACCTAACACTAAATAGCACCTGTGGCACACCTGGCATTGTATGCACTTAAAAGCTCCATTGTGTCGGCTTCACAAGAAAGAATGACACAAAGTGGACATTACATCCACTTTACAAATGGAGAAATTAAGTGCAGAAATTAGGTCACTGGTACAAGGTCCTATAGTTCTTAGGAGGTACAGCTAGGATTCTAACTCAACTCTGCATTTTCCCAAAGCTCCTATTCTTTCCTCTCTATCAAGATTCCTGCTTTAAACTCTCTTTCCTAACTTATCTTCAATGGATCATCTTTCATAATAACACTGAAAGAGAGCAGGCCTCCAACTTAAATAACAACAACCTCTCCTCCTCTACCTCCTTCTTCATTTCAGTGCTGGGGATGGAACCCAGGGTCTTGAGCCCACTAGGCCACAGAGCCACACCCCAGTCCATAAACCTCTAATTTAAATGTCCCCAAATAAGAGGAAAAGGGAGACAACCCACCATTGTTTGCCATCAGTCATAAATTATAAGATTACAAAAAGCCCAGCATGAAAGTCATCAAGAGCTTAACTGGATTAACAAAATACAGCCAAGATCTGATAAAATGATGTGAGCTCCCATTTAGTACCTTTATTATTTTTTTCTAAATTAATTTTATTGGTACATTTTAGGTATACAATATGACATTCATCATTGGAAATTTGCACCTTTACATAATATCTCTTGGTTCTTATTTTTCCCCATTCCCCTGCCCTCCCTATTTACAAAGATTTTGTTTCCATTTTTTCATTTTCTCATATTAATTCCATTCCCTTCTTTCCTTTCCCCTACCCCTCCCACTTCCCCTTTGCCCCTTTTCTTCCTATTTCACATTATCTATTATATCTTTTAGTCCTTATTTACACTTTCAGTTTCTCACATTAGAGAAACTATTCAGTATTTACACGTGTGTCCTATTTATTTCACTTAAGAGTATCACCTCAATGTGCATCCATTTAGCTATAAATGCATCTAATTTCTCATTTTTATGGCTGAGCAGTACTTCATTTTATTTTAAAAAACACATTTTCTTTATCCAGTCTCCAACTGATGGGCAATTGGGCTGCTTCCAAGTTTTAGCTTTTACAAACTGTGCTGCTATGAACATGGGTGCACATATACCACTGTGGTATGATTCTTTTAATTCTTTGGGGAAGATACTCAGCAGGGGAATAGCTGGGTCAAATGGGACTTCCAGTCTTAGTTCTTTAAGGTATCTCCATACTGATTCTACAGTGGTTGCACTCATACAGTTTTTTAAACCACCACCCACAGATGAGGGGTTGCTGAAAGGCAAAAGGTCTCAGCACTTTTTAAATTTTTTATTTTGAGATAGAGTCTAAGTTGCTACACTGTCCAAGCTAGGCTCCAACTCTCGATCCTTCTGCCTCAGCCTCCCAGAGTGCTGGGATTATAGGTGGGCAACATCATACAGTGGCATTCTTTCTTTTTCTTTTTTTTGAGGTGAGGTCTTACTAAGTGGCCCAGGCTGGCCTCACTCAGCCTGTGGAGTAGCTGGGATACCAGGTATGAGCCACAGGGCCAGCTTGTCTTCTGTCCAGTACATTTTCCAGGACCTGGCCTGGAATACTTTGCATATTTGTCATTTAGATGTTGAGAGGATTATTTGTATTTTTTGTCCCCTGATAGTCATGTGGTAATGGTAACCTTGGCAATGAAGGGTGTTTGGCTTCTGTAAATACCAACCATAGGCACCTGAAAAGGAGAAGTCGCCTGGGAGCCTATGCAACCAGAGGCTTCTCACCACAGGGGCCCAGTAAAGGAGCAGCCACTTGGCCTCCCCACTCAGGGAAAGAGCAGTGGTTGGGCTTTCTCTACCAGCCCTTGAACACAGCCTTCTATTAGCCCGCTCTTCAGATGCAAAACCCCCTACTGACCTTCAAAGAATGCCACTCTATCATTCCTGGAACCAGCCCTGTCTTTCCAAAAGTTATTAGCCCAAGTGTCTATTTTGACCAAACCTACAGCCAACCCCAGAATCCTCGCTGAGGCTGATTATTACCTGATGGCAGGGCAGGAACTAAACACCACTAGGAGATGTGAACAGAAACTTTACCAGCAGTTTTTACCGTTTGTTTTCACAAGCAAACCTAAAACCAAACAACAGGTAGCCAAGAACAGCCAAGGGACTACTTTAAGGATGTTAAAAATGGACTGGAAATCATGGACAGGTAAGCATCCCAGGCAATTTTTAGAGTTTTTAAAAAACCTGCCTGGATTTATTAAAATTGCAAAGAGCCAGATGTGGTGGCAAACATCTGTAATCAGCACTTGGTGGCTGAGGCAGGAGGACTGCTGCAAGTTCAAGGTCAGCCTGGGCTACACAGTGAGTTTGAGGCCAGCCTGAACTGCATAGTGAGACCCTGTCTCAAAACCCAACTAATAATGGTGGGGAAAAAAACCCCAGAAATTATTTCTCTATCAACATTATCCTTAAAAACCAGGGTAAGCAAGGGATATTTTACACAGGAATCATTGGAAGAGACAAGTGAAATAGTCCATGAATGTCTTACCCTATGAAATCCCAAAGTGAAACCTGGGGTAGGTTCCAACATTTACGAATTATTCCATTTTTTGGTGTTTCTGTCCCTGGCTTTTTTAGTTCACATAATTTCTACCCCTCACTGAAGTAGTTTGTGGACCACACTGTTGGGCCATACAGCTGTGACAGGGTGAGTGTGCCCCAGCATTCCCTTTCACACAGGCCAGAAAACTTCAGTTATCTCAGAAATCAGGGC